ATTTTTCGTGACGATGGTTCATCGCTGCACAGACAATGGGATACATGCAAAGTTCATTAATTTTAGAAGAGTCAAAAAATAAATTGTGCAGAAAACAAAAATTTTCTACAACAGAACAAACCTTTCCGATTGAAATAAAAAATATTTCAACTCGATTCCTCGAATAATTTTCGAGATAAAAATTCCCAAGTGAAATCTGATCTTCGATGGCGATGCTTCAAGACAGTTAAATTTCGAAGGCGTCGTTTTGAAACCAAAAACTTCGCGCGAGTTTAATCATAGTTAATGTACGAACTACCGGTGAACCTCGATTATCCGAACAGCCAATGCTTCGAGGAATACTTCGAAGTGCAGCGGTAGATCGAGCGTTCTATCGGGCACCGTGGAAGGAAACCGTTAAAAGGTCTCGTCACACGCGACCCAACAAATCCAATAACAATGAACCGAAAGAGCCGCGAATCTCCTCTGTAGGGTATCAAAAGAGGCAGCTTCATGGACAAATTTCAGGCCGAATCGCCTGCAGCAAGAGGCTGCGCCACGATACCGGGGTTCGGGCTTCGGGAACGCCGAAACGATTCGAGTGCGAACGGTATCGAAAATCCGGGAGGCCTGGCTTGGGTTTGCAGGATCAAACAAAGAGCCTGTCCGCCCGTTCCGGTAACCAACTTAACCGGAAACTTCGAATCAAAGCAAACACGGCGAAAGTGCCCGCAGGGGTCAACTCGGCGGTTCATCGTGAAACTCGATTTACTACCACCACCAGTTCCATCATCCCTCGCCGGTGTACTTTGGTGCGCGTACTCCGAGGCTCCGCCGCAGCACGCCCTATTGTCGTGTTGCAACAATGCGCACTGTCTGTTTGCGTGTAATTGGGAAGCTTGGCCGTGGGCGAGCACGCGCACGCGTTCCACGATAATAACGCGAGAGCACGGCCTCCCCCGCGACCGGCCTGATCGAGTTACTTCAATTGTCTTCGCGGAGATTCTGTTACCTGGAAGAGTGACTCTCGGTTTCCTTGAATCCAGGATGACGCCGCAATCGGCCCTTAATCGGGCCAAGTACACCCGCCCCTTGCCCAATCAATCGTAAATTATTGAAGATAACGATGAAATCGACATCCATTGATCCAGGGGGTCAGGCTTCATTGGATCTGACCAATCACTGTACAATCTGATGATGGATACGTGTCTAATAGCCTGGTGAATCGTGGGTAGGTCTGGATTGGTTCTTTGATGGATTTGGGTTGGGCATAATGGGTCTGAGTTAGGCCTGAAAGATCTGAGATAAGTCTGAGGGGTTTAAGCTAAGTCCCAAGGGTCCAATCGAGGTCTGAAATCTTGGGGGTCGAAGACTAACTCTAAGGGATCTTCAATAAGTCTAATGAGTCCAAGATAAGTCTAAAGGGCCTTAGATAAATCTAATGAGTCCAAGATAAATCTAAAGGGCCTTAAATAAGTCTAATGAGTCCAAGATAAGTCTAATGGGCCTAAGATCAGTCTAAAGGGTCTAAGCTAAGATTGAAGACTTCAAACTTGAACTAGGTCAGATCTGAGGCATCCAAGCTATATCACTGACACGTGAGCTAAGTCAAAGGAGCTTAAGTCAAGTTTGTGGAGTCCAAGCAAGTTCTGTGGATTGCAAACTAAGTCAGAAGGGTCTAAGCTAAGTCTAAGGGGTTTTAATCAAGTCTGAAGGATCTTAGCTAAGTCAAAGTAATCGAAGCTAAGTCTGAGGAGTTCAAGTTAAGTCTGAAGGATCCAAAAAAGGTTCAAAAAATGCCAGCTACTAGTCCAAATTAAATCTAACTTTTGGAACCAAGGCAGGTCTAGAAAGTCCAGGCTACGCTTCAGGGGCCAAAAATAAGTCCACGATGGGTCTAGCGTTGCTCCGAGTTAGGTCTTCAATGGGCCCAAGCCATCTATTGCAAGGATTTCGATAATCCGTCCAGGTAAACTGCATATAAAAATGACAGTTGATGAAAACAGGGGGTTGGCTTAGCAGAAGCTCGTTAAACAGGTAGGTGTGTTATCCTCGGTCCGAGTTTGATTAGGGTTATTTAATGCGGGCCAGCGTGAACGCGAACATGTGTACGAGAGCTGCGACTACACAACAGGTACGATAATGCGAACTTGGTTTGTTTATACCGAAGGGGATTAAAATAATGCATCGACGCACAGACCCGCCGCATTGAACCAGATGAAGAGATTTACTTGCCGGGCAAATTACATGCGCATTAGCCGAGGAAATGCACTGTTCGCCGAGACCGTTTAGGCGAACCGTGCCCCTACGCTCCTATTAAATCGTGCCGCACAAAAGAAAAGACGGGGTGGGTGCGGGGTGTTCAGTCGCAAACTCGATATATCCCTGCTCCGGGAATGGGTTAACTGGCATCGAACAATTTTCTCTCGCAGCTAATTTCTCGTCAAGTTCGCTCACTTCGCGAATCGTCTCGTGAAAGCAATTTCATGTCGCGTTTAGCCGCCGTAGCCGGCTCGCAATCGTCAACACGTTACATTATTACAACGTTCGCCTGTCGCTACATAATTACAAACGCGAGCGTAAAAACCGTGGCACAACCGACTGCTCATGCTGGAGATTGAAATATTCCCCGGCTGAATTCGTAATCAACGATAAATACGTGTTTAACGACGGTTAATATTCATTTATGCCGCGCCCATATACGCGGGCATATAAGTGATGAATTATTCCCGGGAAATGTATCGTATCGTTCTGCAGCCTCCCATAGGCGGACGTCTATTCTAATTGTGAAAATACAAAATTTCGTGTCAGATCACTAGCGGGAAATAGGCCTGGCCCAGTGGCCACCTGGCGGCGGCTGCCTCAAATTGTCAGCCACGATTTTCGGAGTGCGACATTAATATATCTGTATCTTCGTTTCTGCGGCGTATTTTTCAACGGCAAAATTTGTACGCGTTCCTTAAGCATGTCTGAAATTATTCTGAAAATTTCAGAGCGATTGGATATCTGGTTTCCTGGAGAAAAATTCAGGAACATCGCCTACATCGCCTACGCTTCAATTCTGTCATAGAAGTACAATTTTCCTTTCGTATTCGATAGATAAAATTTCCGAAGGAACAAAATTATTTTTCATCGGATATTTTTAAGTAAGATATAGAAGTTCGTGCAATTTGTCCAATTACTTAGCATTACTTAACGAACTGGAAGCAGGTTAAACGTGTGAGTTAAAATCATAGCGATGCAAGTCATATTTAAGAAAATTATTAAAAAGACAAATCGAATAAATTATAAAGATACTACGAACTAACTTAACGCTAAATTATCATAACGATAGACTTGACCGGTAAACAATGCACGTGTTAGTAAACAATTACACTCCTTGGGAAATATGACTCACGCCGTTACGATTCAGAACGAGAAAAATGTGACCTTCCATCATAACGATTCGCAACGAGGAAAACGTGACTCACACGCCATTACGATTCGAACCGAAGCAAAGAGTCGTAGAACAACCGTCTCGCATCAGAACCAATCGAGAAGCAGAACACATTATCGCTCAAGCCCCGACATTTTCCAGCGACGATAGAATCGGTCGTCGACTGTTTCGCTGCACGGTTCAAGTCGCCGTTAATGCGGCCGTGCCCGAAAGAGAGATGACGCCTGCCAATCAAAGGACACAGAAACGCGGCTTGATCACCGTGAAAGAGTACTCAACAAACCGCGACCAGGGGGTAAATCGCGTTCTATCCAGAATAATAACGCTACGGTGCATGGAACGCCGCCGACGAGGGGCGAATAAAGCCGGCAGCGAATAAGGGACGCGTGGGAGGCGGAAAAAGAGGGATGGGGCCGGGGACGTCGGAGGGAGAGGCGGTCGCCTTTGTGCAGGCAGCCTCTGTGCGTCGCGGCAAACGCACGGTTAATAATGGATAATAATACCTAAATGGCCGATCATCGACTCGGATCCCGTGAATCGATGATTCGATTGTTTCTGTTGTTGCGCGCTTGGCCATCCGCGTCCGGGTCGCGAAGGGGGCCGCTCGTGCGGCACAAACGCGAATTCCAGACGCGGATCAAACGTGTTTTTGCGAAGCCGGGGTACACCGAGAGTACGTAAATATTGTTTGAGCAAGGATTCCGCCGGTAATTTCGACCGGCCGGCCCGATATCGGCCAGCTGGCCCGGACGCGCCGTGTTTGCGCAAACATTGACAAATTTTGGTCGGTCTTCCCCTTTTTCGAAATACGGTGGGACTCCATTTATATGAATTCGGCGGGTGGCAACCGGTTCGTATAACCCTGCGGATTTGTATAATTCTGATCACGACCGCTACTTGTAATTCTTCGTTCAAATCACCGACGTTCCCGTTCAGATAAACGGACTTAACCAAACACACAACCTTTTGCACTCGACTGCCGAGTCTGACAGGGGAACGTTTCCAATAACACGCCGGTTTTTATGAGATTTCGGTACAATATAGTTTCATGAAAAATATTTCACACGTATTTTTTCATATCTGCAACGATCCATATCGAGGGGTTGAAAAGAAAATGGTTTCCGTCCTCAGAATTGAGGATAGAAACTATATATTTTTGGAAATACCTCGATAATTAAAGGAAGTAGAACAATGAATAATTTTTAAAAATACGTGTTTTTGATAGACAAATTTAATCGCTTGAAGGAGGTTCCGAGAACGTTATTTGCTTTAACAATATATAAGAAAACATTTTTTCTCTCTAACGTATATGAAATTTTTAAATGCAGCGATATCATTTATTTAACACTAGGTTTACGGAACCCGTGAAAATGACGGATTAATAATTTAATTTTAATTTACGATCATTCAGATTGTAAAGATACGATTGTGAATTATTTATTCAAATATTACAATAACACTGATAACAAATCATAACAAACGTCTTATTGTTACTTTTATAAGCTACCATAAAACAGCTGATGTTGGTGCTCCGTAAATCCAGTATTAAAATGAAAAAAAATGAAAGTGGATAATCGTCACTCACCTGATTCTTGCCTTTGAGAACGAGGACGTTAGTAACGCGACCGAATGGTGTACCAAGATGGACGACCTCGGCATCCGACACCTCGTTCGGGATGTTTCTGATATGAATGACTCTCGAAGGTTTGCTATTGTGGCTCTTGTCGAGTTTAACCTGCAACATAGAAAGAAAATACGCGGCGGTGAAAAATGCATTCCCGAAGGCGGGATCGGCGTCGAACAATCTCAAACAATGACAAACTCCGGCCACTCCGTTATCGGGCCGCGTCAACGCGGATCGTGGAAACTGTTATTTGCTTCTCGCAATGCGCTTTTAAAATTCCATTAGTTCTCGTTAAAATGTCTGCTGCCGCTTGGAAGTCTCGCGTGCGCGCGCGCGCGCTCTGGCCGACTTCCGAATAACCCTCGAAAGAACTCGGGACCCCATTGGTTACCCCGTGTAAAAGTAACGAAACTTTTCGCTCGCGGATACATTTAAATCGAAACCGTTGTTGCCGCGGGCAGAATTTTCAATCACGGCTCAATCTAATCGACTCTCTGCTTCCCAGTCGGCCTCCCGTCACCCTCGCCCATCCGCCACCCTCGCCCTTCCGCCGAACTCCGCTTTCTGCAACCTCGAAACTCATTCTTTTTCTTCCTCGCGCAACCGCCTTTCCCGCCGCCGAAGACTTGCCGGCGTCGAACGGATCGAGAGACACGATGCTTAACGACTACAACAGCTCCGCGGAACTTCCTAAGCCAATATTTGAGAAACGAGTACGGCCAATGTCCCAATTTCTGTGCCCCCGGATTTAAAAGAAAATCTATGCGAAAAGAATATATAATATATAAATTGATTCACCTATCAACGTGTACGATCAAGAGAGAAGCATTACATCTTGCATGCCCCTTTTTTAATTGAAATTAAATTACTAAATTACTAAATATAAATTATTAAATTTTCTCACGCAAAAAGATATTTCCAAAGACCGAGAGATGCCTGAAAATATCGAAATATATTTTCAGTGCAATAAATAAAAATTAGTGCTAGATTATATTCGAGCCTTGCGGCTCGTTTTTATAGTTACCGATTGCCAACTATAAAAAAGAACGAGACGCAAGGCAATCTGAGCGCGAATTACGGAGAAATTACTGTATTTAATGACAGCTTCGTCGAAGCAGAAATTGGCTCGAAGGCACGGAAATTGGGACACCTGCTCGACGGCGTGGTCCAGCAAGCGTTCCAAATAAAAGTTGTTAAGGAATGGAATTTTGTCAAGACATTCGGATAAAGAATGCGGGAGTTATTAATAATTTTATAGGTTAGGAACACGTCTCGCGAAAGCTGTCCAATGAGACGCATCGATTCCGGGCGTTGCAGCAGCATGAAAGAAACGGACGAACAACGTTTCGCTTTATTCGTCCTATAGCCACCGTTTCACCGGATAAATTACGTAATTAACGTCCGAATTATATTAATAATTCGAGAGAAGCGAAGACGCGAGGTCCAATCGAACGGTGTCCCAGTTTCCGGACAGGTTTCCGCAGGAATTGAATGCGATGCAACGAGTTCCTTAGCGAGTCCGTATAATGGCGTATTATCGTACATGACTCGATAATCGGGCTGCGCGCAGATATAATGCATAATAGACGTGCTTGACGATAATTCGACGCGCAGGAAATTTATCGTACATGGTTCGTTACTTTTTAATTGCATTACGATATACTATTATACCGTACCATCGACTATGTAATTCGTGCAATTATTCGGCTCCCGGTTCCTTTTAATTCGCCGCGCTGAATATTCTCTCGCTAAAGCGACATCCGATTCGAAGCGATCGCTGCTTCGAATGTACAGGGTGTCCCGAAATTATGGTGTTTCGGGGAAACGTGGGGTTCCCGAGGTCATTCGAAGTAACATCTTCCTTGGAGAACATGCAATCCGCGGCTTCGTTTACGAGTTATTAAGGAAAAACAATTAGAAACGAGCTCGACTGGCGTCTTTTTTTTTTAAATTTCGAACGAATTTAGACAACTTCTCGTTTCGAAAAATAATCCATAAACTGAATTATTTACAATTTCGAAGTTAGCTCCGCTACGATTAAAGAAATGTTTACAAAATTTGGACGCCTTTCGATTACGAGAAAAAAGAAACAAATATTCGTAAACGAAATTATTTACGGGATCTCTAGGGTTCTTGATGCACCGGGCAGCAGTGCAGATTCACGGGCCTCGCCGAAAATCTGCATCGGCATAATAAGTCGCGAGAGGAGATCTCGACAATGCGGTGGGCACGAATTGAAGCGGGCCAGCGCCGAATCCGCGTGCCCCGGTGAATAGCCTGTCCGAGCAACTTTTTCCCCGACCTCTACTTTCCTGTCGACCGAGGTTAAGGGGTAGAAGAATTACCAGCAGGATCAAAAGAAGTCGAGGGTTTAATTTCAAAGGTTAGCTGCTGCCCAGGAGCCTTCTTTCGAGGCTTCCCGCTACTCGAATCCACCTCAAGCCACTTCAGAAGACTCGGAACTCATCTTCACAGACTCCGCGAAAAGGACATGAAGGGTTCCAGCCGGTGGACCAGCAAGATAGAGAGAGAGAGAGAGAGAGAGAGAGAGAGA